AAAAAACCTGATTAGCTGTAGATAATCAAAATGTACAAACAAAATGATCAGACGGTTGCACAGATTCACCATTCTTCAAATATTTAAAAAACAAAAACAAAAATACAGAAATACTGTCAAAAAATTAAAAAAAAAAAAAAAAAAAACAAAAAAACCGGAAAAAAAAAAAAAAAAAAAAAAAATCACACAGACAACATTGTACCTCTGTAATGTTGTGGTTGGTAAAGGCACTTGTCTCAAAAAAGTCCATTCCATAAGCCTGGGCAAGCTGGAGCAAAAAAAGATGGAAGATGTCTGAAGAAAGTCTTTAACCTCAGACATCAGATATCAGGTTTGTCACATGACAGAGTAGATGTGGAGTAAATGGCACTATGAATGAAAGATGCAGTGCACAAGAGGGAAGTATTATTTATTTACCTTATTTCCCTGTTCTGTAGCTACTTGTCTCTTCTGTTCTTCATCAGACTTGTTCCCAACAAGTATCTTCTGCACTTTCTCAGGGGCATACTGATCAGAGACAGAACAGACGAGAAGAGAGACTCGACAGAGGCGAATGGATGGAGCAGAGCAGAAACAGACAAATATGATATGTGACATAGAATTCATATAACAAAAGTGCTCCGGTTCAAGTAACAGCAATAATCACCGATATTGGTTTAGCACAATTTCTGTGTTTATATCAAGTTTTCCTTTGTCCTCTAGTGGGAAAACATGGGGGCAGTGTTTTAAACGTAATATACGAATCATACAGTGGGGTCCAAAAGTCCACAATGAACATTTGAGATTCAAAAATGTATTTCAGGGTTTTATTTACGATAATAATATATAAACAGAACTGTAATATGAAAAAGGCTAAATAAAATATATATTATTAATATTAATACAAATAAATAAAACATTTTTGGTGCTCTGAAATTAAATTTTTTTTTTTAGGATTTATAAATTAGTCAAACTTAGTAATAAGTAACAAAACTAATCTTAAATCTTAAATATTTCTGATTTATTTTCACATCATAATGCTTCTTTGTTTTACTTTTTCCTAAATCCTAAAACTTTCAGTTGCTGTTAATTAAATTCAGTTTTTTATATCCCAGATTTGCACTGTAGCCTCTGAGTGTTAGGACCCCACTGTGGATGTAGAGTTAAAGAGAGAACGAGGGGCGGTGGAATTTAAATGAAGAGATATTAATAAGAAGCGGGTTATATTTAGTTACAGCAAGACAGATATGCTTTAAACTCCACAGCTTCACCTCATCTACATCACTGGCCCACTTCATGATGTGCTGGAACGAGCGCTCGCTTGTGATGTCATACACCAGAAAAATGCCCTGTTGATACAGAATCAATTTCAATCCACCCATACATTATAATGAGCGTTTATCAGTGAATTACCACACAATGGACACCAAAAGGCATCTCTATTAGACCTGACTCCTTTATTACATAAGTATATGAGTCAGTGAGATGAGTGAAAATCACCTGTGCTCTTCTGTAGTACTGCTTAGTGATGGTCTGATATCTCTCCTGGCCTGCTGTGTCCCTGCGTACATACACACAACTGATTAGCACAACCAATGGATCAAACGCTGTTATATCATCAGAGAAAAATCAAACATACCACATCTGTATTCGTACTTTAATGCCATCTATCTCCAAGGTCTTCATTTTGAAATCGACACCTGGGGTAAAAAAAAAAAAGGGAAACATATAATGATTTCAAATGACTTCAAAATGAAAAAAGCACTCTTTGTGTGGTTAGTGACACAACTCATCTGTTAAACTATCTTCAGGCACAAAGCCAAATCTAAATGAAATCGTTTGGTAGAATCAGTGTTCTCATGAAGTTTACTGAACCATTCAAATCAGACTCATAAAAAGGCAGTGAAGTAATAAAGAATAGGAAAGAAGCCAGTAGCTCCTCACTGCAGAACACAAGATCCAGGGGGCGTGGTTGGATCCACATCTAGGGGGTGGAGATTGTAGGTTTAGGGGTGGAGATGGGTGGGTTTAGGGATCGGGGTGGAGACGGGTAGGTTTAGGTATATGTAAGGTGGGAGGAGTTGGATCTGGATCCAACCACGCCCCCTGGATCTTGTGTTCTGCAGTGAGGACCATCTCAAAGAAGCAGAAATGGTGAGAACTACAAGAGAGACATGATGAAAAATTTGCTTGCAATTTAATAGATATTTCTATAAAAGGATATGAAATTTATTATAGAAATATTCTTAATAGGTTTATTCATTATATGACTGGCAAGAACATTTACAGGACAGAACCTAAAAGGGTGGAAAATGGAAATAAGGAATAAGCTCACATGGAGTTGACTTTGATTTTTTTATTTCTATTTAAATTCATTGTTAATACTTGATCTCTGTTCGCCTAATTTTGATATTGTGGTTACAAAAAAATTATTCACATGAATTCCTCCATTAAAAATTATGAGTTTAATATTTCATTCAGTTTATTTAGAGACACATAAAATTAACATGAATGTGTACTATATTTTAGGAATGACGTGTTCTTGTAAGGAAACCATAATGAGATCTTGAGCCCTGAAAGAAAGCACCTCTCTATTAAACATGAGGCAGGCAAGAAAATAAAGCCACAGAAAAACTACAATGGTAAATGAGTATCTGTCAATAAGGTCCACTGCGAGACATTACAGCTCCCGGAAAAGCTGTTCTTCTAGGAAGTTCCATTCTCAATAACAATTATGACTCCAAGCCAACAGTAGTCATTGTCTCTGTAATTTTTAACATACCCTATCAGCAATGTGATTTAAAAAAAGGATTAATTACCAAATTTCTTTCTTAGAGAGACAACTTAGACAGCTTGTATACAGGTCTTCATATAAAATATTTCCCCCCCCCAAAAGATTCAATTCAATGACTGGAACCAAATGGCATCTCACGCACAACAAAGTGCAAGCACAAGAAATACTAAAATAAGACATGAGTACAAAACCATCTTGAATACAGTCGAGTGCCATCCATAGAGCTCCATAGCCTCTTCTTTATTAAACCGCATGAAGTAAAACAGTAGTGTTAGTGCCCTCAGCTTCCACACAGGGACACACAGAAAGGTCATCACTACAGCCACTGAATTGGTTGGCCTGGGGCTACGGAAAATAATGAAAGAGCTGCCCTTCCCATCCTCTCTTCCAGAATCTCGAGCAGTGAAAGGACAACAACAATGCTGTGAAATACTACAAAAATAAAAGAGAAACCAAACCAACCTCACATAAAGTGATGTAAATAACTGTAATCCTTTTCTCATTAAAAAAATATGCACTCAAATGAGATGAAGACACCAGTGAAATCGCAAAACAGTGAAATAGTCTATTAAAATCTGTTTTGTTTTACATAGAGCGTGTCCCTTCATTGGAGCGGCCATGTTGGATCACATGACAAGCTACTCACTGTGCCTTGGTAACTTAAAAACTTGAGTTCACCGAATAAATTAATCATGGTTGACTGCGAATAGCACATTTCAGTATCATCATCATTCTAAAAGTATTGCTTTTGGGTGATGCCGCAACATCCCATATCAGTCAGTGTGACATAAACCAAAAATGAATGAGTGCACCTTTAAGAACTTTTAGGTCAGATTTCCTCCATATTCTCAAGGGCACTTCTGATGGCTTTTTGATTTGATAAACCAGCTTTCATCCAAAACCTTTTTATTTTAATCAATACTATGCAGGGGTGTAAAAAGTACCGAGAAGAGTACAGACACTACTTGGTGAAACTAAAAGTATTAAAAGTTGAAAAATGAAACACTTTTCTAAGCCATTTTTTCAAAGCTTTTTAGAGATTTTCTCATTTTAGTAGTTTTGATGCAAAAAGAAAGAAACCTGTCAAAAATGACTATTTTCTCATTGTTCTGCCTTTGTAAAACTCATAACGCAGAAGTTAAAGTAAACCAATATCCTGAAACCTGTTACCTGAGTGATTTTAAATTAACGATTTTACAGTGGTTGGCATTTGAATATAGCAATTTTTAGACTACCGTGTTCACACTTAACATCCATCTACAGAGATGGCTATCATAAAAAGACATTACTTTACATCAAATTTCATGTGTCTGAAAGGGATAGTTCTCCCTAAAATGGACATTCTGACATAATTTAATCACCCTGGTCTTTCAAAGTCACATTAGGATAAAGAAAAACACTATTTTTATTTTTAATAATTGAAAAAATATTTAAGTTGTACTTTTTAGTCAACATAAAGAATATTTTGAAAAGTAAAAAGGAATTTTTTTTACCTTGTAAATGTAACTTGTGGTATGTTTACATGACAACTATGTACTACAAATGGAAAAGTTTTTCCTTTGCATTTTTGAAGTTTCACATACAGAAAACAATGTTGTCAAAACGATCCCAAATCACCCGGACCTGAGAAAATGACTAAAGATGCTGTATTATGCATGCCAGGCCAGTAGTTGGCGATGTCACTTTGCAAAGAAACATTACACGCATGTGAAAATACCTATAGACTGAACACGTAATACGCATGCACATGATGCCACCGTTCTCACAAATTCACGTTTTTATAGTTTACACGGAGACGAAAACAGAATAATCTTGAAAAACTTGCACTTTGAAACCCGTTTTCAAACATTTGGGTTTTCAGGCCCCCAAAACGCTGTTGTTTTGTAAATGAAAGGCCAAAACATATTAAATGTTTTCAGTTCTTAGTTGATGTCGGTGTCATGTAAATGAGTAACTGAGCCAAAGTACAAATCGGTTTTAACAGAACTCAAGTAAAGCACAGATTCCCCAAAAACATATTAAAGCATAGTAGTGAAATACTTCCTACCTCTGATAATGTAAGTTTTCTGAGCACCAAAAATATAAAGACAATTAAAGCAGACCTTTAAATGAATGGCCATTTGACAGACGGTAATGAGAGTATTAAACTTGTCACAGTGTGCCAGAGCTGAACAATTGAATCATCACTTTGACACTTTCCTTCTGAGACAGAGGCTAATTGGAAATGGAAATAATTTTAACAAGACAACAGACAGAGATATGCTATGGTGATTATCACATACAAATTTAAACACAAATCCAATTTCTCTAGTGTTGACACCATCATAAACAATTGACTAGAGAAAGCAATGAAATAGAAATGGAGATCATATCTTGTTGTATTTGCTATCCTCAAACTAATCAATCAACAGCTGCTTTCTATAGCAAGAATAATTTAGCATAACAGCATGTTGCCTCGAGGCAAATAGATAACCATTAGCTAATGCGTCAAATGATCTGTCAGACCACACAGATATCTCTTCCACTGTGAATAACGTTTCAGTACAGCGCTAAGGTCTTTGATAGCCTAGTATCATAATATATATGGGTCATAGCCCTGCGGACTAGAGCGTATTGAACCATTTTTTAGGGCAAGACACCAGCCATCTCTCAAGACAGTCAGACTCAATCTTTTATCTCCTGCAGTTAAAGACTGTTCTGTATCACATCACTACTTAACCAAAAGAGATCCATCCCAGCATATTAAATAAACAGTAGCGGGACAGACAGCAGGCTGCAGGAATGAGTCAGGGCTTCAAATTCCTTATTGATTTGGGGGGATATAATCATCAGGAACACTAGGAGGGTGTTATGAATCCTATGCCTGATTTCTTGATATTATTTGCTCCCCTGGAAACACCAAGAAAGCTACACAACAGAGCATACCCTGAACTTTTGCAAAATAACAGCCTGACATTCACTCCACACCTAATGAAGCATGTGATTTAATTGGGGGATAACATTTTTGGTACGGGTTCAGCAGCTCAAATGCTTCATTAAAGGAATAGTTCACCCAAAATGTGAATTTTGTAAGCATCTATTCACCCTCACATCTTTTGACACATACATTTTTTTATTCTGTGGAACACAAACGAAGATTTTACACAATGACAGATTTCACAGTTCACACAAAAATAACAATTTAATCATTATTTACTCACCCTAGTATCATCCCAAACCCATTTGACTTTCTTCCTTCTGTGGACCACAAACTTAGATATTTAGCAAAATGTCCAAGCTGCTAGTTTCCATACAATGAAATTGCATGGGGACAATTGTGGTCATCATTCATGTTCATTGTATGGAAAAAGACTAAAGAGCAGCTAGGACATTCTGCTAGATAGCTACTTTCATGGTTTCCAAGGCAGCAAAAAGATTTGGAAAGGCAAGTAAACAGTGACTATTTATTTTTCTTTTTTGGGTGAACTATCCTTTTAAAAGATCTTTATACATATACAGGTGCATCTCAATAAATTCAAATGTCGTGGAAAAGTTAATTTACAATAATATGCATCTGTACTTTCTGTGTCCTCACTGCCATTCATGCAACCTATGATTTTAAATTAATTTCTTACTGCATTTTTATTATCTATAACAGGACGATCTAAAACAAACACTACTGGGTTTGTGACAACTGCAGAAATGCAACATTTTAAGACTTAACACACAGATACAGTCAGGCATCTCAGAAAGAACTAGAAGAGGTTGTGTGAATGCATCTCACTATGTGGTATAATTCTCAAGCCATTTTTTTTCAGAAATGCATGGTGTAAATCCAGTATAGCCTACGTAAAGTCACCTTTTCTGTTTAACAGAGCAAGATACATAAAAAACTGAGCTGTATTTTCTGTACAGTATCTGTGACTTTACAAGCAAC